CCCCCCCCCCCCCCCCCCCCCCCCCCCCCCCCCCCCCCCCCCCCCCCCCCCCCCCCCCCCCCCCCCCCCCCCCCCCCCCCCCCCCCCCCCCCCCCCCCCCCCCCCCCCCCCCCCCCCCCCCCCCCCCCCCCCCCCCCCCCCCCCCCCCCCCCCCCCCCCCCCCCCCCCCCCCCCCCCCCCCCCCCCCCCCCCCCCCCCCCCCCCCCCCCCCCCCCCCCCCCCCCCCCCCCCCCCCCCCCCCCCCCCCCCCCCCCCCCCCCCCCCCCCCCCCCCCCCCCCCCCCCCCCCCCCCCCCCCCCCCCCCCCCCCCCCCCCCCCCCCCCCCCCCCCCCCCCCCCCCCCCCCCCCCCCCCCCCCCCCCCCCCCCCCCCCCCCCCCCCCCCCCCCCCCCCCCCCCCCCCCCCCCCCCCCCCCCCCCCCCCCCCCCCCCCCCCCCCCCCCCCCCCCCCCCCCCCCCCCCCCCCCCCCCCCCCCCCCCCCCCCCCCCCCCCCCCCCCCCCCCCCCCCCCCCCCCCCCCCCCCCCCCCCCCCCCCCCCCCCCCCCCCCCCCCCCCCCCCCCCCCCCCCCCCCCCCCCCCCCCCCCCCCCCCCCCCCCCCCCCCCCCCCCCCCCCCCCCCCCCCCCCCCCCCCCCCCCCCCCCCCCCCCCCCCCCCCCCCCCCCCCCCCCCCCCCCCCCCCCCCCCCCCCCCCCCCCCCCCCCCCCCCCCCCCCCCCCCCCCCCCCCCCCCCCCCCCCCCCCCCCCCCCCCCCCCCCCCCCCCCCCCCCCCCCCCCCCCCCCCCCCCCCCCCCCCCCCCCCCCCCCCCCCCCCCCCCCCCCCCCCCCCCCCCCCCCCCCCCCCCCCCCCCCCCCCCCCCCCCCCCCCCCCCCCCCCCCCCCCCCCCCCCCCCCCCCCCCCCCCCCCCCCCCCCCCCCCCCCCCCCCCCCCCCCCCCCCCCCCCCCCCCCCCCCCCCCCCCCCCCCCCCCCCCCCCCCCCCCCCCCCCCCCCCCCCCCCCCCCCCCCCCCCCCCCCCCCCCCCCCCCCCCCCCCCCCCCCCCCCCCCCCCCCCCCCCCCCCCCCCCCCCCCCCCCCCCCCCCCCCCCCCCCCCCCCCCCCCCCCCCCCCCCCCCCCCCCCCCCCCCCCCCCCCCCCCCCCCCCCCCCCCCCCCCCCCCCCCCCCCCCCCCCCCCCCCCCCCCCCCCCCCCCCCCCCCCCCCCCCCCCCCCCCCCCCCCCCCCCCCCCCCCCCCCCCCCCCCCCCCCCCCCCCCCCCCCCCCCCCCCCCCCCCCCCCCCCCCCCCCCCCCCCCCCCCCCCCCCCCCCCCCCCCCCCCCCCCCCCCCCCCCCCCCCCCCCCCCCCCCCCCCCCCCCCCCCCCCCCCCCCCCCCCCCCCCCCCCCCCCCCCCCCCCCCCCCCCCCCCCCCCCCCCCCCCCCCCCCCCCCCCCCCCCCCCCCCCCCCCCCCCCCCCCCCCCCCCCCCCCCCCCCCCCCCCCCCCCCCCCCCCCCCCCCCCCCCCCCCCCCCCCCCCCCCCCCCCCCCCCCCCCCCCCCCCCCCCCCCCCCCCCCCCCCCCCCCCCCCCCCCCCCCCCCCCCCCCCCCCCCCCCCCCCCCCCCCCCCCCCCCCCCCCCCCCCCCCCCCCCCCCCCCCCCCCCCCCCCCCCCCCCCCCCCCCCCCCCCCCCCCCCCCCCCCCCCCCCCCCCCCCCCCCCCCCCCCCCCCCCCCCCCCCCCCCCCCCCCCCCCCCCCCCCCCCCCCCCCCCCCCCCCCCCCCCCCCCCCCCCCCCCCCCCCCCCCCCCCCCCCCCCCCCCCCCCCCCCCCCCCCCCCCCCCCCCCCCCCCCCCCCCCCCCCCCCCCCCCCCCCCCCCCCCCCCCCCCCCCCCCCCCCCCCCCCCCCCCCCCCCCCCCCCCCCCCCCCCCCCCCCCCCCCCCCCCCCCCCCCCCCCCCCCCCCCCCCCCCCCCCCCCCCCCCCCCCCCCCCCCCCCCCCCCCCCCCCCCCCCCCCCCCCCCCCCCCCCACCCCCCCCCCCCCCCCCCCCCCCCCCCCCCCCCCCCCCCCCCCCCCCCCCCCCCCCCCCCCCCCCCCCCCCCCCCCCCCCCCCCCCCCCCCCCCCCCCCCCCCCCCCCCCCCCCCCCCCCCCCCCCCCCCCCCCCCCCCCCCCCCCCCCCCCCCCCCCCCCCCCCCCCCCCCCCCCCCCCCCCCCCCCCCCCCCCCCCCCCCCCCCCCCCCCCCCCCCCCCCCCCCCCCCCCCCCCCCCCCCCCCCCCCCCCCCCCCCCCCCCCCCCCCCCCCCCCCCCCCCCCCCCCCCCCCCCCCCCCCCCCCCCCCCCCCCCCCCCCCCCCCCCCCCCCCCCCCCCCCCCCCCCCCCCCCCCCCCCCCCCCCCCCCCCCCCCCCCCCCCCCCCCCCCCCCCCCCCCCCCCCCCCCCCCCCCCCCCCCCCCCCCCCCCCCCCCCCCCCCCCCCCCCCCCCCCCCCCCCCCCCCCCCCCCCCCCCCCCCCCCCCCCCCCCCCCCCCCCCCCCCCCCCCCCCCCCCCCCCCCCCCCCCCCCCCCCCCCCCCCCCCCCCCCCCCCCCCCCCCCCCCCCCCCCCCCCCCCCCCCCCCCCCCCCCCCCCCCCCCCCCCCCCCCCCCCCCCCCCCCCCCCCCCCCCCCCCCCCCCCCCCCCCCCCCCCCCCCCCCCCCCCCCCCCCCCCCCCCCCCCCCCCCCCCCCCCCCCCCCCCCCCCCCCCCCCCCCCCCCCCCCCCCCCCCCCCCCCCCCCCCCCCCCCCCCCCCCCCCCCCCCCCCCCCCCCCCCCCCCCCCCCCCCCCCCCCCCCCCCCCCCCCCCCCCCCCCCCCCCCCCCCCCCCCCCCCCCCCCCCCCCCCCCCCCCCCCCCCCCCCCCCCCCCCCCCCCCCCCCCCCCCCCCCCCCCCCCCCCCCCCCCCCCCCCCCCCCCCCCCCCCCCCCCCCCCCCCCCCCCCCCCCCCCCCCCCCCCCCCCCCCCCCCCCCCCCCCCCCCCCCCCCCCCCCCCCCCCCCCCCCCCCCCCCCCCCCCCCCCCCCCCCCCCCCCCCCCCCCCCCCCCCCCCCCCCCCCCCCCCCCCCACCCCCCCCCCCCCCCCCCCCCCCCCCCCCCCCCCCCCCCCCCCCCCCCCCCCCCCCCCCCCCCCCCCCCCCCCCCCCCCCCCCCCCCCCCCCCCCCCCCCCCCCCCCCCCCCCCCCCCCCCCCCCCCCCCCCCCCCCCCCCCCCCCCCCCCCCCCCCCCACCCCCCCCCCCCCCCCCCCCCCCCCCCCCCCCCCCCCCCCCCCCCCCCCCCCCCCCCCCCCCCCCCCCCCCCCCCCCCCCCCCCCCCCCCCCCCCCCCCCCCCCCCCCCCCCCCCCACCCCCCCCCCCCCCCCCCCCCCCCCCCCCCCCCCCCCCCCCCCCCCCCCCCCTCCCAATAATATCAATGTCCTATTTTTTTCAAAATATTTGTGCTCTGGCACATTGTACAATGTTATCTTGTCCTCGCACATCCTCATCACATGCTTCAAGATCAGAAAAAACCATCAGCACAAACATGTTACTACTCCGGAAGCCCTACCTCTCCTTACAACTTGAAAGAACTCAACTTTGTATTTAAGCATGTCAAAATGACAAATCCTCTTGGTGGGGATTTCAAAATTTCTTATGATAAGTTTCCTTCAATAGATTTTTTTTATATATATACAACCATGGGTAAACATGACTCAACCCCTGTAGATTGTGCCATACCTTGACCTAATGACAAGGACATCCTCAAGGTTTTCCAAAATATCATTGCACTCAATTATAATTCATATCTATTTCATATAGTATCCTGTCATTAGAAACATTACCGATAGGTTCAAAAAGTGATAAGCCATGCAATATTCCTCCTTTAATGACAATGTTGGATAAATAGATCTCAAATAAATCGGTCCCAGAATTGATGGATGATGGACATCGTCTTACCAATGTGTATGCTTACAAGACAATGATGTTGTTCACATCCAATTTATCAACATAAAAAAATGACTCTTCTATTAGGAAAAATGGTTTTGGTATTTGACCGTAAGGCTAATAAACGAAACGAGTAGCTTGAGCTCGACTCATTAGGGGCTCGTTCAAACCCGCTCGAATTCAATAAATGAACCGAATATGAACAGAAATTTGGGCTCGTTTAAAAAGTAGCTCGAGCCCGAGCTACACGGGTGGCTCGTTTTGGGCTTGGTTGTTTATTCCCATTCTTCGCTCTTGTCTTTTAGTGGTCCAATTTCAGCTGTTCATCTCAAACCCTATACCAAGTTGAGGGATAAGATGAAATGAACTTAACCTACCCAAACCAATGCACTCAAAGCCAAAATCCATCACTAGAGGCACTGACAGTGAGATCAAACCTCTTATTCTTTGTCATCATTGGCTGCAGCGCGCGTTCTCACTCTCTCTGACCCCTGTCATACAATGCCTTCTATCTTCTCCCTCTTCAAATTCTGTCTTTATTTCAAAAACTATAAAAGTTTTTGTCTTTTTCGTCCCATGGAGCTCGCGATTGCGTCGTGCTCCTCTCTGTTTAGAATCTGCTGCTTGTTCTTGGAGTTGAACCAGACCATCACCGCCACAGCTTCTCATAACCATCAATAACACCATTATGAAATAAATTTTTAACGGTAAGTATCTATTCCCTCACTCTAACAATTATGAATTGTTTTGGTAAACTAAATGTAGGTTGAATTTCATGGTTTATTTTATATATTTTTTAGGATTTTGAAGAGAAATTGAGTATTTTAGGTCTAATTTTTGGGATTTTTCGTTTGGAAACTAAAGCTCATTTTCGGCTCGAAAGCTGAGCTTGAACAAACTATTGGCCTCAATAGTCAAGCTCGAGCCGAATCTGAGGATGGCCACTTGTAAACGAGCCGAGCTTGAGCATAGTCAAGCTCGGCTCGATTATCACCCCTAACCGTAAGGAAGAAACTAGAGAGAAAAACCAAACAAAAGAAAAATAGCTCGATATTTTGGTTTCACTAAAATTCTGGTTTATCATCTATTGCATAAACAATCAGTCAGTTACAACATTAACTTCTACCTTAATACAACCCCGCTAAATAAAATACCAAAAAAAGAAAAAACGAGCAGTTTATATGCATGGGTGGAAGAGGAAACCTTATATTTATTCCAAGGGTGAAAAATGCTGAGCCATAGGCACGCACGCGTAGTACTTCCTGCCCTTCATATTCCCTAGCATTGGATTTGCTATCCTTCTGCACGAAAAAAGAAAAAAGTGACAAAAAAAAAAAGTAAAAATAGACATTATTAAGTGGGGTTGGAAATCTAAAGACTATTGAGAACTAATCAGTGCGGGAAACCAAAGAACAATAGGCTCACAATACAATAAAGGGGGAAACTATATGAAACTGAAAAACTTCACAAGAAGATTGTTGTAGACTTGATTATCATCTTCACCAACAGAGAAGTTTTGAATGCTAAAAAAATGAAAGAGAAAGGGATGTGCAGGTATATCAGGAATTTTGTATCAGTTGCTACCGTATGAAACATGAACAACTTAAGCCCAACAATGATGAGAAAAACTTAACAACATCCCAAAGAGCACTAGAGACCACAATAGAATATTCTTAATTTGTCAAGGTGGCCAATGTGGGAGGTTCTATAAGTTTGGACACAATCAATAACCTTTAATTTTCCCTTGAACAACTTAATCAAGTAGAGACTGTAAGACATCCCAAATTAATTTACGAAGGCACTATAACTAAACTAAAAAACAGAATTATGGAGGTATTTCTAAATTATAATTATAAAACTACAGTGTAATGGCATCCAAACCAACCTCACATGCCTAAGCATGTATAACCACAATAGTGTGCTATTCCTATCCAGTACCAGTGGCAAGCACCAAAAGGATGCCATATTGCCATTGCATCATAATATTCCAGGAATGTTAAAATGTGTGATAACTGTTCCGGGCATGTCTTTTCCCAACTTTGTTTTGAGGTAGTTACAAGCACAGTGTTCATCTTACCCTTGCCTACTACAACCATCTCATTACAAAGCAGTTATTTCCCAGTTTTGTCGAAATATACACACAACTCCATCTATGACTGAACTGCGGTTGACCCGTTCAGTCAAGCATACCCCCACGACGTCCCCAGAATGATCAATTTAGCACAAGTCGCAGTACACAAGGTTCATAAAAAGTGAAGGGGGCAAACACAGAAGGATTTATAACATCAAATATTAGTTTTGTTCCTTTCTAAACTGTTTTAGGTAGAAAATGTCAATCCCACGTCTAAATTAAACAGTAAAGTGATAACAGAATGATCCAAACCTATTACCACCACTTTTCCTGTGACACATGGTAACCCTAGATTCGTCATATATTAAAATTACATCTTACCAAATGTTCCACTTTCAAACCCAGCCCAAAAGCTGCAACAATTCACTAAAGTATTTATTTCTAAACCAGCACAGCAAAGCCCAAATACTCTCTGCGCAAACATCCACAAACATCTCAGTCACGCACACTATGGGTGGATTTTTTGCACACAACACACTTGTCTGATGGTTAGTTTGATTGATTATTAGTTCTGCTCAATCGGTATTATATATTTCCTTGAATTCGTTTGATTTTTAGTTAGGATTTTGATTGTTTAATTATTAGTTTAGATTGTGAGTTGGATTTTAATTGTTAGTTTTGATTTGGATAGTTAGATTTAATTTGGATTTTGATTGCCCTTTTCATTCTCCATTGGGTATTTCAACATGGAGATCCAAACCAGTATCAATATTTGTGTGCCCTTCATTTTACACCATGCCAATTCAATACTTAAAACCATTTTTTAAAATTGCCATGCCAGAGCATGTGATATGCTTTGAAAAGCAAAAGACAATTTTATTGCAAATCCTTCTTCGACATTTTGATTGATAACCCTAGCTTACCATAGTTTGGCCCTTATGAGATGATATGGGAAGGAAAAGTACCACTTAAAATTCAAGTTTTCTTCTTGGACTGTTGCTTAAAAGAAACTTGATACTAATGATTAGTTTCAAAGGAGGAGATCCCATCATTCTTTGCCACCTCAATGATGTATTATGTGTAAAAGAAGTGTGAAGAATATTGATCACTATTTCCAAATTGCTAGGTTACTTTCTGGTATGGTGAATTGTGTTGGATTTCACCAACTTCAAGTTATGCACTGCTTTATTAATTTTTGGGGTTTTCGAAGGAGTAAAAAAGCTCAAACACCATGGAAATGTGTAGTGCTGGCCAATTTTTTGGGTCTTATGATTAGAGAGGAATGTGCAAGAATTTTTCAATGTAGGTGTGAGAAGGCAGAAAACTTGTGAGAAATAATTTGCTTCTTGGCTCCTTCGGGCTTCGGTGTCTTCTCACTTTGAGCGAATTCCGTAGTTCTTGATTAGGGATCATTGTAAACCAATAAGTGAAATATAATTAGTATTTTATTTCCCATTCTTTTCCTAAAGGTTTTTGAATTGTTAGACTATTTGTCCTTCCTGTAACACTTTTCCATTATTACTGAAAGACTTTATAGCTGACCAAAAAGAAAAGAAAAAAAAAAAAAGAGAGAGTAATGGAGAGGTTATTTATCCAAGACAACTTTGGGAGTATAGACATCAGGAGACTGATAGGTATAAACCCCAATTTATGGGCTCTTTCAGAAATCTTCTCTGAAAAACTTAGCTAACCATGCACACAGGGCAAAAGTTGTATGCTGATATAATAAGTGGATAATTTATGTCTTGAACCAACCTTTTCATAGTCAGCACCAGGTTCATCCGGGAGGCTTTGAAGAAGAACATCACCTACAGCTCGACAAATCTGACTATTTTTCAGCAGTTCTTTGAATATTTCAAGCAGACGAGTATACCTATTGCAACATATAGCTCTGAGCAGCAACTTCTCAACATCAATGCAACTCTGTTCGAGAGAAAATTCTGCCTCCTTTCCCATTAGAGGATCAATGACAAATGTGCTATGAAGGCACTTTATCTTCAAATCTTGCCCAGGTTCAATTTTTATGAATGGGCATGATCCTGCATCAGCTGTTCCAGAGATTTTATCAAAATCTAACCAGTATAAAATCTTTAATCCAGGAGTTCGTAAACCTGCTGAATCAATTTCACCATCTTGAGTGATCTGCATAGAACCCGCAATCCCTCCTTGTCCAACACTACCATCAGATATAAGCTCAAACCGAATTGCATCTTTCCATCTGCCTTGCCTAAGGGCCTGCACTTGTCTTATGACGGTGTCCATGACAAGTGCAATACAAAGCTCATGGAGAACAGTGTATAATGTTGAAAATGGATTTTCTGCAGCAGCCATTCTGCGCTCCAAATCATCTCCAAGAGCATGCCGTCGCAATTCTTCCAGCTTGACAGACCCACTTCTCTCACCAACAAGCAGCTCCATATGTAAGATCCTCCACATTGAAAGGTGTCCTCGATAACCAAGGGTTACTAGAACCTTAAATTCCCCATCCACACGAAGCAATGCAGTACCATCAGAAACTTTGACTTCCGAAATTTCTTTGGGGATTGAAATTTCAAGTAATTTAGACCTCACGAGGGTGTCTAACTTTTTTAAAGCTGGCTTCTGCTGATCTTCGGTCAATGTGCTTTGAATACCTACATCTTCTATACATTTTGGTAATCGCTGGTATGTTCCTGTTAGCAGAACTTCAGTAGCAAATGGAACATCGTAGATAGGAGCACGAGCTTGTTGTAACCCCTCGTGCATGAAAAACATTGAATCTGAGGCCTGGGTGAAGCATGTATCATGACTGGATAGAGTTGATGCCAGCTGCTGACAATATTGTATCAATGGAACCTGCAGAAAACAACCAGGTTTTGCAGCAGACATGTTGTTATAAAATACTACATGGAACCATAGATGAATATAGTTTAATACAACAAAAGATCCAAAGTGCAAAATTATTTCCCTTGCTAACAGAAGCCTAAGGCTAAATTACTCTCCCTGCAACTTTAGCACATTGGTACTACATCACCGATTGCTCGAACCACGTAACCTAATCAATGAGTCTATTCTCCTAAATCAAGACAAAAGGCATTCCACGGCTCAAGGGACCTTTTATCCCAAAAAAGGACCTCGCTTGATCAAAAAAGAAAAGTTAAATTTCAATCAACTGATGAATGCTGTCAATCCAATCCACTTTCAATCAATCGATGACTGCTTCTCTTCCATTCTTAACGTCTTAAAGTGTACCATTCCGAAAAGGTAGGGTTACGGGGCACTCTAAGGAGGAGATTTGTAAAAAGGATTCCCAATTAATTAGCAAGGGAAGACCCACCCTTATTCAATAACTTAGCTCGAACGTCCAGAGTCAGATGCCATAATTCTCAAAAAAAAATTAGAAACAAAGATACTGATCACTGAGAACTAAATTCAAGTGGTGAAGTCAGTGCTAGAATTCGTAAAATATAGCTTGGCACGGAAAAAATAAAATCAAGTAAAAAATGGAAGCAAGCTCAAGATTTGTGCAATATATATGAGAAAGGTATATATCACCATCATACCATTATCAT